CCCCAAAACCCCAAAACCCCAAAACCCCTGTATGAACTAACTCAATTGAAAAATTGTGGCGGAGGGTTTACTTCTTAAGCTCTTTTTCTTTCTGCATCATTTTCTTTAGCTTCTGTTCTTGGAGGTAGAGGTTAGTTCTTCTCTGTCGTTCAAGAATTCTCCTATCCCATGCTGCATGCTCTCTTTCCTTCTGGACTTGCTCTTGGTTATATTTTTCTCTAAGAGATTTGTCGTATCTGTACATTTCAGTAGAGGTTTTAATGGCAACTTTGAATTTCCTTCCTGGTATTACTATACAATTATAAGCTTCAGTCACAGGTACAAATTCTCGTACCTTCAGGTTGGTTAATTTTAAGAGCAGCCTCCCTTCTTTTCTTATGAGCTAGGTTTCGGCTGTGAATAGTCATTAATTTCTGAAATATTGGAGATCTTTGGTCCCCTTTTGGGTCATTCCCATCTGTTTTTTGAGGGTCACCACGAGTGCTTAGCTCTGTTTTATTCGACTCTTCTTCAGAGATTGAACTGATAACTTTTTCTTTGTCCCTTTCGTAGTCTCTTTCGAGGAAGGATTTGATAGTTTTCTTACTTTGATATGGTTGGTAGTCTAGAGATTTTTCTTTTAGAAAACTGATTCTGCTGTTAAGACTTGCTGAGAATGTATCCTCTCTAAACCATTTAAAGTGGTAACTCTTACTTATCTTTCTTTTCTGAAGAGTTCTCCCTGGTAATGATTCTAGCAAATGGGGTGGAGATCTTTGTTATCTTGTTATTTTACAATGGAATTAGGGCTTCTTATATTCTCCATTTTGTCAAGGCCAAAACTGATCTGTTCTAATTTGTGCTTGAAGTAAGATATTCTATCCTTAGAAGTAAATTTTGAGAAGTCCTTTATGCTTCCTCTACTATCATTGATGTGAAGAGAGGGAAGGGAACTTTTCTTTGAGTTTATAGTTGTCAAGGGAACTCCTTTACTCTTTCTAGCACTCTGTAGTTCAGGCATTTTTAAGGCTCCTCTAGACTTATTGATTTCAATTCCCTTCTTTGATGAAATAAATGATTTACTCCCGTTTTGTATGCTATAGAGTAGTTATTTTGAATACATTCGATCATCTGCTGTAAGAGTGGAGGCATTCTGAATAGCTCTTAGTTCAATTGATTTTCTTCCAAGGATGCTATATCTTCTCTAACAAAGAGTACTCAAAAGCTTTGGTTTTGAACGATCGCTGCAAAATTGTCTCTCTTTTGCTGCGATTTTCATTAGGTCTAATCCTAAAATTAGTGGATTTGCTTTGATGTAAATTGGTATCTCGAGCTATATCTTATATCTTAGGGTTAGGAAATACTCTTATTCTTAGACAGTCTCGTGAAACATGGCATTATAAGCTTATTCCTGCTACATCTTAATTTTCCTTCTCTATTTCATAGAGGTAAAATTAAATTTAGTCAAATAAAGACAAAGACTAAGATAAATAATCGTTGGAATTTCTTACCTTTGATCTCTATCATTCCTATCAACTTTGAAATCAAATGGCGTCTTATTTTAGCTTCTCAAGAGAACTTCTTTCATAACTTTGTCTCACTCCAAGCCCCTATTTTATCCAAACCATTCCTCATCCCTTTGCCCAAACCAAAATAATGAACAATATACTCAAAAAATAAATTAAAATCTTCAGTTGAATTTCACTCAACTTCCAAGTACCAAAACCAATACCCCCAAAAGCCGTACTTTATTTATGGAGGATAGGAGACCCGTCCTTTTTGCACTGGACATCCTTCTGACCATCCACAATGTGGTAGTACCTGTCAACCATGGGGTTGTGCCATATTTGAGAGTTAGCCATCCTATTCATTTATTTATAATATATAAGGGGTTTTGGGGTTTTGGGGTTTTGGGG